GACAACATCTATCCAACGTTTATAAAGTTCCTTGTACACCTTTTCATGATCTTCATAGCTAACATATTCGATGCTGTCTGGAGGACCTATATCCTTGCCTGAAGAGTCACAAAACAAGGTGTTAAGGCACAAAAATACAGAATTTTCATTTTTATACCTGCCATGTGTCATGACACTTCGAGCGACACCTCAGCCGACACCTGCTGAATCAATTTGTTTGGGCTTGAATTCGCTCACAGTGGTCACAAAGGCAGCATCTCCATTATTTTCAGCTTCATAATCAACGGAGCCGTCATCAAATTCTTCATCATCGCTCAAAGTGGCGTTGAAGTTCAAGCAAGGAAATTTTTTAACACAATAATATTATACCATATAAAATAAACCATATATATATATATTAAAATAAATCAGAAAATAAAAATAAAATAAAAAACAAAAAAATACGATTTAACAGATAGTTTTCTCTCAATTCAGATCTGGACTCCGAAAAATCATCAAGCATAAATTCAGGGCCGGCCCTGACTAATGTCAAAGTGGACATTGGCCATGGGCCCCCAAATTTATATCTATATTATATATATATATATATGTGTGTGTGTGTGTGTGTGTGTGTATGGATTTTTGTTAGTGAATTTTTCTACTAATTAAAAAGTCCACAAAAAATTTAGTTTTTATTGGCCCAAGCCCAAACACATATAAGGCACTAATCATAAGCAATAACATAANAAACACCAATGTGCACTATACTCCTCCCCATCTTTATAGCACCGTTTGTTTTTCTTTTTTTCTTACATCTATTTCCAAGTTCTACTTTCTAATGGGCGGAAATTTTTTTGAGTGTAGCCGGATAAACAATTTGGAGCAACGGTTTCGACGATTAAGCTTTTCTTTTCAGTTTTCAATTGATTCTTTGATTTATTCGTGAAAGTGAAACACCTAACCGAGAGACCTACTACAATTATTAGGGTTTTTTTGGGTTTGAAGATCATTATCCAACGCATAAATTAGGTTATATTTCTTGATTATATTTTATAATTTTGGTGTTATTGTTTCATTGTTTGATTCTCAGGCTCTTTTTTTATGTGTTTGTCTAATATTATTTTTCATTTTAATTAAATTTATGTGTTGAAAAAGGGCCCCTTACCCAATTTTCTCCATGGACCCCAACAATGTCAGGCCGGGCCCTGCATAAATTCACTTCCTTTCAAACTCGAAACGTGACGATTGACATATATTTGATTTTGGATTACGAGTCCAGTGGCAAATTAATTTGTTCTGCCTGGAGAACGTAAATGACAGGAAACAATAGTTTCCGATTTCACGTTAGAGGAGGGTTGGATAAAAGTTATAAACAACAACAAAAAGAAAAATTATTTTTAACTAATTCTTATTTTTAATTGAAAACTAACTTATCAATAAAATTAAATAATATCAATCATTCTTATTTATGACATCACTTTAATTTATTATTCATTTACTCATGTAATTTTAATTAACTATCACTTCACATCATCTATTTTCTACTTTTACATCAAATCAATTTTAATTATTTTATTTCGTATATTATTTTAATATTAACTCAAAATCTCACTAACTACTAATCATACTATATTTTCAAATTTAACCATATCAAACTAAAAAATCCAATCATAATAAAAAAAATCTTATACATAATCAATGATTATGTTTTTCACATGGTTCTGAAAACCGAACCCCTAGCGGTCGAACTATTTTAATTAATATATAATTATTTATTTATTTTATATGTATAATATATAATTATATATTTTTTATTATTAATTTTATAGTATAAGACATTTATCTAAATAAGAGTTCAATAATATATACAATCGACAATGTTGAATAATGTTGTTAACTTTTTTTCTTATTTTAATTTTATATTTAAAATTTTAATCTAAATTTAATTTACAAAATAGAGAGAATAGAAATAACCCAATTCTCATTTTAAACCAAATTTTAAATTTTTTATTATTGATTAAAAAAATAGAAAATAAAAATAATGTGCATAACAAAAAAAAAAGTGGGGAATAGATATAGTAATTCACTTCAAATACCAATACATTTTTTTAATGAGTACAATATTGCTTGTTAGGCCCAATATTGGCCCTATAATTTCAACAAGGAAACATATCCCACATAGAAAATACAAATAAAAAAGGTGTGCTATTTAAACCACTTAACAATCTACCAAGTTCAAATTCATAAACTTGGAACCGGTGAACCATTCAAACCGGTCCGGTTCACCGGTTCAACCGATTTTGGACAGGTACGAACGGCTCTTGACCGGCCAAGTTCAAATTCATAAGCTTGAACCAGTGAACCATTCAAACCGGTCCGGTTCACCGGTTCAACCGATTTTGGACAGGTTCGAACGGCTCTTGACCGGTTCTCCTGCATAGCGGTTTGAAGGCTCAAACTGGACCGGAATGATGGCCGGTCGCCGATCCAACCAGTTGAACCAGTAAGTCCGGTCCGGTTTTCATAACAATGGTTTTTCATGCATTTGCAGGTGTGCTATTTAAACCACTTAACAATCTACCAAGTTCAAATTCATAAGCTTGAACCGGTGAACCATTCAAACCGATCCGGTTCACCGGTTCAACCGATTTTGGACAGGTTCGAACGGTTCTTGACCGGTTCTCCTGCATAGTGGTTTGAAGGCTCAAACTGGACCTGAATGATGGCCGGTTCCCGATCCAACCAGTTGAACCAGTCAGTCAGGTCCGGTTATCATAACAATGGTTTTTCATGCATTTGCAGGTTGGAGTTGGACACTCGTTTGTCCGATGATTCTTTCTTTTCAATTATTCAAACCTATGAAATTGTGGTTAAACAAAAATCATTAATTTTTAGCTAATGTGAATAAACTATTACTGGATGAACACAATATTATTCACACACACTGAACACACGCACTCACGCCGTCAGTCAGTTTGACCATTTCTATTGTCTGCCAACCAATCCACCACCATCTATCGCCATCGGTCAGGCCACCGCCCCCACTCGGTGTCGCCGCCCATACTTCTCCGTAAAGTCTGAGGAGTCGTCGAGGTCCGGCAACCGTCTGCCGACGAGATCCGATATCGGGTTTGGCAGGCCACCTCGGAGGACCGTCTCCATCGCCGCCCGATAGACGCGCTGATTCTCGCTCCAAAGGATGCCGACGGAGTCGCTCACCATGTTCACAGACCTTAGGCGGTTTCGAACAACAACGAGGAGAATTTCGTACTTCCAGCGACACTAACCGGCGCAACCGCTCTCTTTGTCCGAAATGCGACTTCGTAGCGATTCACGGCGGTTCGCGGCTCTACTGGCCTGAACATTGGCAGTAATTAGAAAATCGATGAACACAAAAATCAAAGTCAAACTCGATTAACACGAAATTGTAACAAAAAACGTGAGGATGCGGTCGACCGGTGAGGTCTTTGCAGGTCACAGCACGCGAGGCGAATCACCGACGATATGGACGAGTGGTTGGTGCGGCTGGGACAGTCGCAGATGAATTTTTTAGGTTGTGGGATTTATTTTGTAAATTTGATAAGTTACAAGGACTTAGATGCAATTTTTAAATTCTTAACTATATTACGATTTTGTTCATCGGTCGACTCGAATATTTTTAATAAATGAACAATACTAATAAATAAAATGTACATTAATTTATATGGATATGCACATTAAAAATGGACCAAGTATTTCTGTTCAGATTCATTTGGATTTGGACAAAATTTCAGTATGTTCAAACTGCACAATAGTGACCGAAGCAATGTACAATCGTGTTAGACGAATTGCACATTAATGTCTGACAGATTGCACAATAGCGGCCAAAACCAACCGATCTAAAATTTTCGGTCCAAATGTTTATATGTATATATTTTTACTTTTAAAATTTCAAATTATTTCAATTCAATCATATGTTATTACTTTTAATTAAATTATTTAGTTTGATGTCAGATTTATATTTTTATATAAACAAAATTATTCATTTAAGCAAAAACAACATATAAAATATAAAATATAGATACTAAAATTACTAAATATATTTTTATAATTTAAATAATATTTTATTTCAATTATTTTGGTTAATTCGGTTAACCAACCGAATAAACCGGATATTTCGGTTCAACTTTAATTTGGTTTGAGATAAAAGTTCGATCACTCTAGACTGCACAATAGCGATCAAACCGTGCACAATATGGTTAGACGAATTGCACAGTAATGATTGTCAGAAGGCACAACAACAATCAAATGAAAATTTTTGGTTCAAATTTTTATATTTCAATCCTATAATTTGTTTTTACTTTAAAAAATGCAGTTATTTCTATTGAGAAAAACAAAAGAATATTAATTACTAATTAAACACATATATATATATATATATATCAAAATATCAACGCTAACCGATTAACAATATTGCGTATATAGTGATAGGATTTTTCAGAATATCAAGGACAACCGAATACACATTTAATATATTGTTATTCAATATATTTTTCAACCCATAAAATACACGTTTAAAAAAATCGATCGTTCACTTTTTTTTTCAAAAGATCGAGTCATTTGTTTCGGTGTTGACATTTCGATCGCTCGGTGCGACCGAACAGACTGGTGAATAATATTCTATATATTGTAATTAATTTGAACTTTAATGTGCATTTACATATCTTATATTATGCATTGTACTGAACATTATTGTGCTTTTATTAAGCTTTTGTCAAAACATAAATGTTACCATAAACTAAATTCTAATAAAATAAAATCTCTAAAATTGCAACTAAGTCCTTAGAACTTTTATGAAATCACTAATTTTCCTCACGTATTAAAATGAAATATTTTAAAAGTTAAAAAATTGTAATTAAATTCCTTAGCTATCTCAAAATTTTGAAATATAACATCCCAAATCAAAACAATTCACAACACCAAAAATCTGCAACTATCCAAGTGGCAACCATCTTCAGGCTGTATCACCGTCTGTGACCTCCATGCCGCGCGCGGACACGGTCCGGTCGGAAGCCTCGCCATGGTGTCCTGCTTCGCCGTTTGTGGCCAGACGAGGTTCGTCGATGGCCGCGCCCGGACACACAATGTCGAGGCTGTTTTTACTTTATGAATTATAAATTATTTTGATTTAATAAAATATAACATATTTAAGAAAAAAAAAATCCAGGTCAACCATGTTGATTGAGTTGGGTTACTTTCTCGTTATTTGTAAAATAAATTTACAAACATGACACACCTTGGGTGACCAAAGTATGGGTTAATTATAGGTCAAGCATGATCGATAATTGAAACTAAATATGAACTTCAATATTAAGAATATTTGTTGCAATAAATACAATATAGTCCAAATAATCAAATCAAAAAATAAAAATAAAAAATTAGAATGTATTTAATATCATATGAATGTTTATCTATCATTTTATTTATATATAGGAATAAAATCTTAGGTATTAAATATGATTTATGTTATTTATATATTTAATTTATGATACGACATTGATAACAAGCAAAAATTTATTAAGAATGCAATAATAATTATAATATGACCACTTACCCACCAAGTTTTAAATATTGAAGAGATCCATAATTGATGCCTGTGTACTTATTTAGAACCCGTATAAATACATTAATGAATAATTGTGTACAGTTTTTTTAGAACTCGTATATACATATTATATAGAGGCAAAATTCGGGATCGAAAAATCATTTTCCGGGTCAAGATTCAAAGTTCAAAAAGGAAGTTTGAAGCGTGAGCGTTTTTATTAATCAAAATCACAGCGGTCATGAAAAAGAAGGTGGTGTGGTGGTAACCTGTGACAAACATTAATGAAAGGTGGTGAAGAGAGCGTAAAGCTGATTATTATTATCTTTTGTTTATTTAATTTCGCTGTGAGAGGTGGAAATTAATCAATCCAGAGGCTCCTCTCCCTACACATTTCTACATATACACACACATACATAAACAATATTTCATCTTACAAAGTCAAAACAAACTCTGGTCCCATTTCTTACACACATATCATCATCTTCTCCATCATATTACACACCAACATGTCTGTATATCTGACTAGTACATAACATACATATCCACAGTTTCCAAACTAAAAAGATTTAGCCCACTCATTTTCTGTCTGATTCCCAGGTTTGGCATCTACCTCGGTAGGGTGATTGACTCATATAAATATATGTCCCCATTTATATTGCTTATAATTGCATAATTATTAGTTTTGTCCTTATTGTCATGTTTGTGTCAAACAAATAAAAATCAGTTTTTTTGTATGAGTCAGATTTTGAGGGTCAA